TTTGTTTTTCTTTACTGATTTTAGAGAGATAGGAATGAAGAGGGATAGAAACATCGATGAGAAAGAACATAGATCGGCTGCCTCCTGCATGCCCCCCACTGGGGATCAGGCCCACAACCTGGGCATGTGCCCTGACTGGGAATCAAACCAGTGACCTCTTGGTGCATGGGCTGATGCTCAACCACTGAGTTACACTGGCTGGGCAATGGGATTACAATTTAACATCATAAAGTTCCAACACTAATTTGAATTTATACCATCTTAACTTAAATAACATCAAAACTCTGATCCTTGACAGCTCCATCCCCATCCCTTCCATTGTTGTCACAAAATCACCACATATATACTGTGTACCCCAAAACATAAACTGGTAGTTTTTAAGTGCATTAATCTTTCAAAGTATGTAGAAAACAGGATTTAGTTACAAATCAATAGGTGCAGTAATACTACCTTTGACACTAATCAGGTTTTTCCTTTTCCCTTAAATATATAGCTCCTAAATCATGTAGAAACTATTGTTAATAACAATACTAGGTCTTATAATTACCCATGTATTTGCCTTTCTTGAAATCTTCGTTTCTTTATATGGCTTCAAGTTCCTGTGTAGTGTCCTTTTGTTTCACCCTGCAGGACCCCCTTCAGCATTTCTTTCAGAGCAGGTCTAATGGCCACAAATTCCCTCAGCTTTTGTTATCTGGGAATGTCTTATTTTCTCCCGTTCTTTTTAAAAGATTTTTAAATTGTTTTTTAGAGAGGAAATGAGAGGGAGAAACATCAATGTGAGAGTATGACATCAATAAGCTGCCTCCTGCATGTACCCCCTGCCTGGGGATTGAGCTGCAACCCAAGCATGTGTCCTGCCTGGGATTCGAACCAGCACACTTTTGGTGCACAGGACGATGACCAACCGACCAAGCCACAACAGCCATGGCTCTCCCTCACTTCTGCTGGACATAGATTCTTGGTTGTCTTCTGGCCTCCAGACTCGTGACAAATCTATCCTATTGTGGATCCCTTGTATGTGATGATTCCCTTTTCTTGCTGCTTTATTATCCTGACTTTTTAAAGTTTGATTACAATGTGTCTCAGTGGGTCTCGAGTTTATTTCACTTGGATTTTGAGTTTCTTGAATGTTTTATATTCATATTTTTCATGACATTTGAGAAGTTTTCAGCCATTATTTCTTCAAACACTCTACCCCTTTCTCCCTTCCTCTGGGACTCACATGATGTTTGTTTAATGGTGTCCCAAAGGTCCTGTAGGTTCTGTTCACTTTTCTTCAATCCTTTTTCTAGTCCTCAAACTCAATGTCCACTATCCTATCTTCAAGTGTAATGATTCTTCTGCCTGCACAAATTTGTCTTTGTTTGAATCCCTCTAGTGAATTTTTCATTTTCAGAACTTTTTAGGTCTCTATATATTGATATATGCATTGTGTCAACATATTGTTTTCTCAACTTTCTCCACATCTTCCTTTAGTTCTGAGTATCTTTTAAATGGCTGTTTTAAAGTCTTTGTCCAGTATATCTGCCATTTTGTCCTTCAGGGACACTTTCGGTTGACTTTTTCCCCTCTGAATGAGCCATATGTTCCTGTTTCTGTACACCTTATGGTTTTTTGCTGAACACCAGACATTGGAATTGAATAATGTAGTAACTCAGGAAATAAAATTGTCTCCTTTCCCCAGCATCTGCTAGCTTTTGTTTTTAGTTTTTTAGGTTGTTATAGGCTGTCTGTGCTGAGGGTGTTTGAGGTGTAAACCCAAGTTCTTCTCTGGTCTTTCCTGGCATGCATGGATACTTTCTAATTTTTTCCATATGAGCAGTTGTTTACAAACTGTCTTTAGTGTCCAAGTCTTTAATGTATGGATCTCCAAAGGGAAAAATGTGAAAAATGATGGGGAGGTGGTGAGCATGCCAGACTTTTAAATCCCCTGGTATCACCTCAGTCACGGGGAAGGGCTTGCAGCAGTGGGGTGAGGTGCGACAATGGCGACCCCCCTTTTGTCTGCACCTCTGTCATTGGAATCAACAGTCAGAGCATAGAGTGCTACATTTGAGCACAGGGTCCTTTGCTCCAATTTAGGAACGCTGGTTCCTGCAAGCTGCTCCAGGAATGTGGCTAGGGGTGGGAATGGGTAGTTGCTACTGTGCTAAGAGCTGAGACTGAAATTAACCTCAATATACAGTCTAAGTTTTCCCCTGGAAGTTGCAAGCCTTTATTTTACGTTTAGTTGCATCAGACAGATTCCAGGTACTTCCTGCTCTACCACATTCCCAGAATCATCTTAAACATCGTTTAAAATCTACTCCCCATCACTTGAAAGAGCACTACATTTCTACATAAATTGGAACTTATTTCTATTCTAGGATCTGGTTTCCATGCATCTAGGACAATTCTTAATTGCTATGTAGGTTGATATATTTAACTGGTAAGGGGGAGCTGCCTTCATTACTTCTTCACAATTTTCCTAGATTATTTTCATTTTCTTCCAATATGAACTTTAAAATTAGTCTGACTGGTTCTTGGGAAAATATTATTACTTTTATTAAGATTAAGAAATAAGATAAATTAAAAACAGACCATGATACAGAGACTTTGACACAAAAATATGGGTTTATGCCTTCCTATTTGTTCAAATGATCTTTTGTCTCTCATCAAGTTTATACATTTTTATCATTTAGGTCCTGTGCATTTTATTTAATCCTCATCCAAGAACATCCCCTCCTCCCCCCATATTTTGTTCACATAGAGTGGGAGGGAGAGAGAGAAACATAGACATGAAAGGGACACATCGAGTGGTTGCCACCCGCACGACCCAACCAGGGCCAGGGACAAACTGCAACTGAGGTACGTGCCCTTAGCGGGAACCGAACCCGGGTCTCTCTGGACCGCAGGCTGACACTCTTAACTGCTGAGCCAAACCGGCCAGGACTGGTCCTGTGCATTTTAAAAGGTTCATTTAGATGTTACAAGGTATTTGTTATAGCCCTGGCCGGTTTGGCTCAGCGGTTAGAGCGTCCACCTGCGGTCTGGAGAGACCTGGGTTCGGTTCCCGCTAAGGGCATGTACCTTGGTTGCAGTTTGTCCCCGGCCCTGGTTGGTCGTGCGGGTGGCAGCCACTCGATGTGTCCCTTTCACATCGATGTTTCCCTTTCTCTCTCTCTTCCTCTCTCTCCCTCCCACTCTATCTATACAAAAAATGGAAAAATGTCCTCGGGTGAGGATAAAAAAAAAAAAGATATATGTTATATTTTTTAACTAATTGCAAATACAAAAGCTACTGAATCCAGTTACCTTGTTGAATTGTCCTTGAGAATAGCTTATAGTTCATCCTGTTGATGTATCTGAAAAAAAAGTTCATTTTGACTCCTTTATTTTTATACCTTTTTCCTTATTCTTTCTTTCTTTTTTTTTTTTTATCTCCACCCAAGGACATTTTTCCATTTTTGTTTAAATAGAGTGGGAGGAAGAAAGGAAGAGAGAGAGAGAAACATCAACGTGAAAGGGACACAATGAAGGGCTGCCTCCTGAATGACCCAACCAGGGCCGGGGACAAATCACAACCAAGGTACGAGCTCTTGACTGGAATCGAACCCGCGACTCATTGGTCCACAGGCCCACACTAACTGCTGAGCCAAACTGGCCAAGGCCCTTTATCCTTATTCTTATCTAGCTGCTCTAACCAGTATCCCCAGAATATTAATTACAGTGGGTAAACATGTTTGTCTCAACCATAGGACTGTGTCCAATATTTGATCTAGAATGTTAGTTTTCCACTATTTAATCACTTTAACAGACTCCATCTGTAATAACTATTTGTATCTGTAATGACTGTACATTCTTTATCCCTGATAGCTTTCATTTGGCCTGTTCATAGTGTGAACTGTTAGTGGGTACCCTGATAACATCCTTGCATTTGTTTCAGTAGTTGTTTAGTATTACCACCCTTTAATAGATATAGTATGGTAGTTATCTAGCATGCCATTGGACTACACTATTAGGATTTTTATTCATATCACTCTGCCTTTGTCAAGAATTTGGAGGCTTAATACATACTCAAGGTTAGCCCTGTTCTTTACACCTTTTTATACACTTCACCTGTGCTGCCTGAGCCCTTTCTTCTGAGAATTTGATCCATTGCAATTTTTTTCTAGCCAGTTTTAATAATTTATATTTTATAAATTGTCTAATTCCTCTGTAATGCTTCCCATTTCACCATCTGTTTGGTTTGAGCCCTTTTCTTTCATTGGTTAACTGTTGGCATATTTTATTTTACATTCATTTTTATTTGTTTTTGTTTAACAATGATTTCTTCCTGTATTTGATTATGTTTTCTAGCTCTCTGAATGCCATGTGTAGCCCACCCCTTTCTGGCTGTCAGTGTGAGTATGGTTAGGCCTGAGCACGGCACTCCACGTTCTGCTCCAAGGCTGTGCTGTTCCCGCTGCACTACAAGGGGACCCCTTTGGGAGGTGATAACAGCTGGACACTCTCCAGAGGAATTTTAGTAATGTTTTACTCTTCAGGTCCATGTATGGTAACAGAACCAGGAGCGTAGTCTACAATCAACCTGTTCAACCTGTTCAACTACGTTACCAAGTAGTAGAAGTGTTTCCTCTTTGGCAGGTAGGGTGGGGAAACGCTCAGACCATCTAAACCTTCAAACAGTGGTGGCTGTTGCCCAAATACGTTGAGGCAGAGCCTTCAGGTAGCCAAATTCCACATCTTGCCCCACCCAGCTTACTCTCTTTCTTTCTCCTGACCCTCTGGGCTGCCCCGCCCAACAGAAAAGGTCTGGGCACTTCAAGTGGCTGTGCAAACAGAATGTGCAAGTATAACACCCCAGATTTTGAAAACTTAATACAAAGAATGGTAAAATTTTTTTTATTACAGTTAATGTTTTAACTGTATTGGGCTGAATAACATATTAAATATAACTGGTTTCTTCCTTCCATCTGTGTCAACTAGAAGACACCTGCAGATGTGACAGCCCAGGGCACGGGCAGCGCAGCCTTCCTGCACCCAGCAGCACCATGAGGCCAGGTTAGTGTTAACATTTATTTTAAAAATACACAAAATATAAATTTTTTACACCAAAGTGTGATCACCTTACTTATACATTGTTCCATACTTACCTGATTTTGTTTGCATCCTTATGCAAACATTAAGAACAGGTGGGTTTGATTCTAATTTTTTGCTACGGTTCATGTAAACAGTGGAGACTGCTACATAAAGTAGGTGGTTTTACAAGGTAAAGTGGCCATAGAAACCCAACAGTAAAACAATTCAATTTGGTTTGTTTAATGAAATTGGCAGAAGTCTTAGCAGATAGATAATCAAAGACTAAATATTGGCTTCTACGCATTTTCAATATTAAAAACCTTGAGGTTTTATCTTGTAAACATAACTTAGACCTTGTTGGCATTAAGTTTGAAAAGTAAAATATTAAACCATGATTTTCATCACCCTGCCCATCAGAATACACTCTATTATGAGAATGAAACCAAGTAAGCAAAATAAATCAGGAATTTCAACTTGTACTGCAAAGAAGGTTCCGATGGTCTCTTCTGGGAGCAATGCAACTTCGGGGGGTCCTACCGCTGGCGCGTGCGCTCCGCCTGCTGGACAGCACCGGCTGCAGCACGAGCCGCTCGGTCCCTCTTGCTCCGTGTCTTCTGAAGCAACTGAGACTCTACTTCCTCTGCCGGCTCTGCTGTCCTTCCTGGACTTGGATTTGCTGGGGGTAGTGGTTTGCGACAATTGTCAAGACTGTACTGTCCCTTTAAGGTACCACATGCCACCATAGCTTACACAGCAGTCCTGTGAAAAGAGAGGAACATGTTAAGGACTAGGTGATTCTGTGCAGAATTTCACAACTGACTTAGGAATGACTAGAACACAAATGGGAGAGCAGGACCTGCCTGGTCTCCTCCGTGTTCGGGCCTCAGCCCCCACCCCTTCCTCTCCTCACAGGGGTCTTAAGAGTGAGGAACTACCAATGAATGTGCTTCATAAACACGAAACAGAAAAACAGCGGATAAGCTGACCAGAACAAAGGCCTTCGTAACCACGGTCACTACACATGGCCCGAGTTGTCCAAAGTGGCAGAGGGGGACACAGGGACCGTCACCAGCTGTCTGCGCTGCAGGGTTTCTGCAGTGGTACCCGGGGCGCAGCAGCCCCGAGCGCTGCCGGCACAGCGCACTTCGTGTTCCACACACGAGCACACCGAGCGTGAGAGAAACACAGGAAGGTGACACGGACTCTACTGGAAGTGAAGTGGGATGGCAGCGGCACAGGGTTCAAAGGGCAGTGGAGTCAGGACTCTAAAGGGTAAAGATGACCCTCTAGACTCCATGTTTTGAAGGTAGAGCCGACATCTTACTCCGTTTAGTTCTCTGCACAGATCACACCCGTGCCCATCACTGGCCATCTGCTGAGGACTGGATGTGACACTCATGGAGCGGCAGGAAAGCGCCACCACGCCACCCTCTCCACGACAGGGAAGTGCCCGTCACGGGCACCCTCGTTCTCAAGCTCGTGGTCAGAGCAGAAGCCTCTGGACGTTGTTACACACAAAACAGACGTACCTTTAGCACTTTATCCACCTCCTGTTTACTTAGATCTTCTCCACACTCTTGAGTCAACCGAGACTGGATCATGTTCCGGCGTACTCGGTAATTTTTGGAGAAAATTTCAAGCAAAACCTGTCGGTGCTTTAGGAGCAAAGACATGTGATTATGGGAAGCAGTCACCTAACAGAGAAACATCCCACACCAGAAAGCCAGGCTGTGGCCCTCACTCCACACTGCAGTCTGACAGAAGTCCTGCTCGGGAACTCTGGCGAAAGGAGCACACCTGGCCACTTGTCATCTCTCAAGACCCCAACGAAGTGAAGAGTGAGAACAAAGGCACACGCCCAAGAGAGCTGGTGCGAGCACGAGTGGCTCAGACACACTGCACGACAAACAGGAGAGGGCAGGTTCCGCAGGCGGAAGCCCACTGAGGGCCGTAAAGACAGAAAAGGGTGAGGAGGGCGTGGCAGGAAGTGTTGGCAGAGAAACAGCCTGGCCTCTAGGAAATAGGACGACATGAAAAGCAATTACATCCCCAAATAAAAATTAAATAGAGATCCCCTCAAGACAGAAAATGTGTTTTATGAGAGGAAATCTGACCTAGTATGTCCAAGGTGGGACATAAGAATTCTGAAATAATAGCAAAAACAGGTAAATTATCAAGCCTATCACGGAACTTCATACGAGGGACCCGTCTACATTACTCAGGACACAGCTGGAACGCACTGACGTACAGCACGTGCAAAGTGAGGGGAGACTATGGTGTGATCGTCACTGAACAACTCTGAAAGCTTGACTGCCATGGAACTCTCACATCCAGAGGGAAAGCGGACAGGAAGACGTGAGGACCAGAGACAGACAGACAGCCTCCTTGAGGCACCAGGGTGCAGGCAATGCCCTGCCCCTTGGAGGCCAGACGGGTCGAGGAGGAAGACACGTGACTCCACAAGCCAGTCCTGCTGCAGAGGTGCTGGGAGTCACCCCACAATGGCAGTGAGGCTGGTCTGTGTTCCAAACAAGACGTGAGTGCAAACAGGAAGTAGCAAGAAAAAGACGTGTCGCCAGGGCGCAGGCTGTCGTCTGGCCCTGGGATGAACACAGTGCAGACAGGACTGAGCACCGACGGCCCCTGACCGCTGTCTCCCAGCACAGCCGAGTCCGCGCCCACCGCCCACGTCCTGCTAACACACCCAACAGCAGTTTCAGTACAGTTTGTATTAAAAAAAAAGGGAAGCAGCCCTGGCCAGTTTTGCTCAGTGGTTAGTGTCAGCCCACGAACCAAAAAGTTGCGGGTACAATTCCGGCCAAGGGTGGCACGTACCTCGGTTGCAGTTTGTCCCTGGTCCCGGTTGGGGTCGTGTGGGTGGCAACTAGTCGATGTGTCTCTCTCCCATCAATGTTTCTCTCTCTTCCCCCATCTCTCCCTCCCACTCTATCTAAAGATAAATGCAAAAAATGTCCTCAGGTGAGGATTAAAAAAAAAAAGCAACAGCCTCACCTGGCTGGTGTGGCTCAGTGGCTGTGCGTCGACCCATGCACCATGAGTTCACCAGCTCGATTCCCGGTCAGGACACATGCCCAGGATGTGGGCCCGATCCCCAGTGGGGGACGTGCAGGAAGCAGCCAGTTGATGTTCTCTCTCATTGGTGTTTCTATCTCTCTCTCCCTTTCCCTTCCTCTCTCTCTCAAATCAATAAAGGGGGGAAAAAAAGATATGAGAAGTTTACTTAAAAAAAAAACACAACAACAGCCTCTAAGGTGTGGAAATTGGGCCGAGCATAAAGCTCTCAGTCTTCCTGGATTTTAAATACACACTTATACTTTTAATTATCCGAGTATTTGGGGAGCAGGAAACCCAGAGACCACCTATTCTGGGCAGGCACATAGGGTGGCTCTGAGACCTGCAGATGCCCCTTCTACAGCCTGCCCCACCCACCTTTATATCCTGCCCGCCAGCCACGCCCCTAAGAGGCAAAATGGAGCCAGTAGCCCAGTGGGGGCTTTTGCGCACTCCCTCCCCGACTCCTTTGGAGTCTGAGCAATGAAACCTTAATCTTAGTTGCCTGGCCGGTATGGCTCAGTGGACTAAATGTGGTCCCGTGGACTGAGAGATCCTGGTTCAATTCCCGGTCAGGACACATGCCCAGGGTGTGGGCTTGATCCCCAGTGGGAGGCACGCAGGAGGCAGCCCATCAATGTCTCTCTCTCACATCGATGTTTTCCTCTCTCTAAAAAAAAAAATCAATAAAAACATTAGAAGTTCAGGCCAGCTCCTGATTTCGGGAAAGCTTCTGGCTCTCAGGTCCATGATTACAGTCTGCTGGCTAATTCACACCTGACCCCTGGGCCCGGGACCCATCCACGGTGTGATTATAGGAAAAAAGACCACTTTCTCTACTTAAAAAAATGCAGCACCCAAGACCTGAGAAGGAACCCTTGTGATGCCTACTGCCAGAGGCCACCTGAGCAACGGGGTCCATCACTGGTTTGCCAGCCAGCTGGACACCAGAACCATCAGAAAGCTTTGCAGAAACGCAAGCACCTAGGACACTGCCCCGTTCCCAAAGGACACATTCGATGCCTGGGGTCAGTCCTGGGAATCGTGTTTTTAACAGGCGAGTCTCATGCAGCTGGTCCACCTGGCACTTGGGAACCAGATTTGGGCTCAAACAACTGGCACCTCCGGCCTGTTTGGCAACAGACAGAATGTTCGGAATGGGCAAGGGCTGGAAAATCTGAACTGCAACTGCACTCTGGGTCCCCTAAAGGCCACAGCCCTGCAGGAACACCTCCCAGCAGCAAAGACTGCCTCACCTGGTCACTCATGTCTCCGGACTCCCACAGGGCGAACACCTTCTGCTCATCCGGGGAAGCAGCCGTCTGCGGGGGAAACTAACCGAGACCCAGGTGTGAGCTGGTCACTAGTCTTTCCATGCGGCCCACCCTCCCCGCCCATCCCCCCCAGGGCCTTTGGAGGGCTGTGGCGGCGGGCATGATACCCCTGGCTTGAAGCCCAGTGCTCAGTGAGGCGGGGAAGCCAGGTCTGTCTTTCCCACTGGCCTGGCATTAACTCACTACTCTGCTTCCACATCAACGTTCTCCTTCCCCCAACATCGACCGAGAGCCTCCCCCAACTCCCTGGGGCACCCAGCCTCCTTCCCGTCCCTTCCCACAAGGGCTGTGTCAAGGTGGGTTTAAAGGCCCTGCCACCCCCCCCAAGCAATGCACACTGCTGGGTTGGGTGGGCCCAGAGATGGCCCAGACTCTGGGTCCCTGGAGAAGGGAAGCACGAAGGTGGCACCTGGCACAGTGGCTACTACCCCTAACGCCCAGGTGAGGCTCTGCGTATACGGTCTCACTGGGTCAGTGGAAACCAGAGGCAGCGAAGTGCTAGGCCCCCCTCTCCACGGGGAAACGCCAGCTCAGAGAGGGCTACTTCCTGCCCATTGTCACACAGCTAACTCAAGTCTGCACAACTCTACTTGCTCTCCCTGGCCCTCAGCTCCCCTGTATAAAACCACAAGGCTGGACAGACCTGAGGTCTCTTCCACCTTAGATATGACTGATCTGGTCCCCGCATCAGGTCCCAGGAAGGGAAAGTGACGGGCAAGCTACAGAGAAGACAGTCCACAGTGTCCCCTGCCCTGTCCCCTCCAGCCACCCAGGACAGCCTGGCCAACATCAGGCAGCACCCCTCTCCTGCCTGGCCCAGCTCAGACAAAGTTGACCCTGCAGTTAACTGCACCCATTTGCTGGGTGGTCAAGGCAGGGGGCCTCCAAAGGGCCCAACCCCAGTGCCTTCTGTACGAGACCTCACCAAGGCGGCCTCCTGCCACAGGGGCCAGCTCCCCCCAAAGCTGCAGGTGCTCTGACCCTGGCCTGCAAACACCCAGCTCCCGTGTTAAGCGGCAGCAGCAGCCCCGCCTCACCCCGTTGCGGCTTCCCCCAGGCCTCGGCCCGGCCCTCCCCCCTCAGCTGCGGGTCTCCGACACGTGCCGGGGCTCCGCTCCTCTCAGCCGAGGCAGAAGGGACGAAACGAGGGCCACCATGCTGGCACCCAGAACCCAGCTGCCACTTCCTGGCACCTGACCTTGAAACAGGCTCATCCCACTTCTCTGAAACTCGGCCGCTCCGCCTGTGGGCTGCGAAGACCAGTGACACTAGAAATTACCCTAAACATGAGAGCCAACAGGAACGAGCTGAGCTGCCGGTGGGGGCGCTAGACCCAGGTGGGCACACCTCACTCTGCCCTGGCGGATCCTGACACACACCAACGTCCGCCCACTTCAGAACAGAGCGCAGAGCCCCAGTCTGGCCGACCAAGGTCATTCACAGCCATCGCGAGAGCCAACTCTAACCCAGGCCAATGGCCTTCCCGAGTCCTCAGGCCCCTTGCTGGCTCCCCGCAAGCTGGCAGGGCTCAGGTCGCTCCGAGTGACCAGACTCCTCTCCTCTCTCCGGCTCCTTCCTGCGCCCCACCCCGCCCAGGGGCAGAAGGCAGCTCGCGTCCACGCCCAGTGGCGCAGGCCCCACTTACAGGCACCAGTATCTGCTTGCAGCCCGCGGCCAGCACTGTGTCCTGCAGCATGCGGTCCGAGATGCCACTGAAGAGTGTGTGGCCAGGGGGCAGGCTGGCCAAGTGCAGGTTGAAGAGGCGCTTGAGCTCGCTCAGCGTGAGTACAAACTGTCTCTGGAAGGTGGCCTCCACGAAGGCCCGCAGCTCCTGGGCCACTGGGGTGCTGGCACAGCCAGGGGTCGGGTGCCCATTGAAGCTGTCCCCACCTGCGGCCCACGCAGCAGGCAGCCCGTTGGTCAGCCTGCTCTGGAGGCCGCCACTGGGCAAGGTGTCCATGGGCTCGCCTCCTTCCGCGGCCTGCTCCTCCTCGTCCTCTCCCTCGTCACTCAGGGGCTCCTCCTTGATCCGCACACCAGGCAGGACTGCAGACGCCCTGGCCTGCTCCTTCCTCCGCTGCAGCTCCTGTCCCAGCAGCGTGTGGTTCTGCTGGGCCCTGCTCTTGGCTACTTGGACCCGCTGGTCCCCAGGTACCAGCCCTGCAGGCCCTGTGGGAGTGGAGGCTGCTCAGGAGGGCACAGATCAGGCAGAGGGCCCAACATGAAGGCCCCTGGCCCCTGCCCCAGGACAATCCCTTCACCCTGAGGGGACACCCTGCTGTCTAGAGCAAGGGGATAGGAATAATGCAGGCCAGCTGGGGCCCGGCTTGTCTTTCACCCCCACCTTATCCAAGAGAGTTTAGCTACCCCAACAACGAAGGAAGAGCGAGTGGAGAAAGTCAGCTTCCCACGCCCCATGCTCCACGCCAGGACGGGTCAGTGCTGAGCTTCCCCAGTTTCTCTGACCCCTCTCCCCACCTCCTGCCAACCCAAGAAAGCAAGTAGGTGCCAGGGGCCTGGAACCTGGCCAGCCCCAGGCACAGGAGGGTTCGGTCCATAAGGCTGAAGCTGCACCACACACGTCAGCCCCAGGCCGAGCCTGGACCCAGTGCCAGGTGAAGGCCTGCCCAGCAGGTAGCACACACACCTGACTGTCCATCCGGCTTCTTTGGCGTGGTTTCCTTCACGAGGTTATAGACTTTTTCTAATCTGAAAAGAAGAATCAACACTTCACTCTAAACCACATCCCTGTCATCTGCACCACCCCCAGCCCAGGGACGGCCTGGTCACTGGAGCCACCATGTGCTGGGAGCATTGCAGCACCCCTCCCTGAGCTGCCGCCGGGCCTGCTGTGGGCGCACAAGCCAGGCTGCCGCTGCTGAGCACCCCCTCCCTCTCTCCGATAGACACGCGGATTCCACCTCACCGACCCCTCTGGCCACCAAGGAGTGGCCGTGTCAGGCCCAGGCCCAGGATGTGGCCCAGACCCCTCTGCACGCCCCCCCGCACTGTGCCCAGCACCCTTACTTGGCCTGGATGCCCGTCCACAGCATGCGCTGCCGCTGGACCACGTCCGGGTGCTTCTTGATGAACTCCCCGTCGTGCGGCAGGAGGAACTCCCAGCCTCTGCTGACCCTCACCACAGCCATATGCTCCAGGAAGTCCTTCACGTCCTCCGCACAGAGCTGGGGGCAGGCAGGGTGAGGCCACAGCCCCCCGCCGCCCCCCTGCCCCGGGCTGAGACATCACTTACCTTGGTCACCGCGGCCACCTCCTTCCTCACCACCCACCGGCTCTGCGTGAACTTCCACATCTGAGGAGAGACAGACTTCTGAGATGGTCCCCAAACCCATGCCACCATCCTGTGGGCCTAGGGTCAGGCAGACCTGGGTGTGGATCAGCCATGAGCGGTCACTTCAACTCCGAATCCCAGTTTTCTCTGTAGAGGCCCGAGGGCTGTCTCCTCCAGGATGGCAACAGGACCGCCACCCCCCACCCTGACTCCCGGCCTGAGAGGTCCTGCCTGTCTGTCGCCCACCACCAGGGCCTCAACCATGCCCTCTCCAGGCCCCAGACTGGACGCAGCTCCACAAATAGAGAAGGGCCAGCAGGCAGGGAGCGAGCCTGGGGGGGCACACGCTGCATGCAGCCCCGAGGCTGACAACGCACAGCACCGGCCTGACGCCCAGGGAAGAGGCGAGGACACGCTCCTCAGCCTAAGGCTGCCTGCGCCCCGGCGTGGCGTGCGCACGTGCACAGCTCAGCCACAGCACACACTCCACGGAGACAGGCTGCAGCAGCCCGAGGGCAGGCCGAGGCAGGGTTGGAGTCCCGGGGAAGGCAGGGCGGGGCAGGGTGGACGGACGACCAGGCTCTGGCGTTGCAAAGGCTGGCAGCAATGACACCAGAGGTCGCACAGGAGGAGCAGACACACCAGTGCTGTGTGAGGTGGGGTCGTCAGTCCCATCCAGTCAGTGGGCTTAGGTCTGTGGGCCGGTCCCGCCCGACCCTCCAATTATTTATCATGAGCTAGAAATCTGGTCTGTATCATAATTTTGATGTACAAAAAATCAACAACCAAGTTGCCATTTTAAACACACCACTCAAGCCAAATGACACATGCTCCTTGGCCAGAATCCGCCCAGCAGCCTGCAGCCTGTGACGCCTGGCGAGAGGAACTCGCAGGCTCCATGCAGCCAGGACTCCGAGGGAAGAAGGGGAAAGGCGAGTCCAGAGCCCCTGCCCTGCCCTGGCCGAGGCCTTCGAAGCCTCTGCTGTCCCCGTCCCCTCCCACAGCCACCTTCCCCCACCCAGAGGCAAGAACTGGGGCACTTACCACGAAGTCTCGGCCCCGGCAGAGCACCTCGGCCGGCACCCCACTGTGAGGGCTGGAGGAGTCCTTGGGGTACAGGATATCACTGCCAAGGAGAGTGAGCGGCAGGGTCGGTCCCTGCCCAGGCTCCAGGTGAAAGCCCAGGCCGCGCACCAGGAGCCCCAGAGCAGCCCAGGCCTCTTTCCAACACAGGCTGCCAGGCCTGGATGCAACAGCTCTCCTTAGAGCCCCGCTGTGCCCCAGAGGCCTGGCTCTGTGAACACATGTCTAGGAGAGAAGCCCCCTCCCCCTGCCCCACCAAGAGTTCTTCCTTCTCCCCCTTCTTGACACGTCCAACAACTGGCCCGGCCCAAGGCCCACTGCACATCATGAAGGGGCCACAGGCTCAGAGACAGGGGAAAACAGTGGGCCCCACATGGAAAGCAGATGCAACCCCAAGAGAGAATGGTGATGGGAGGTCAGGGTGCAGGGCAGGGGGCTGGGGCCTGAGCACGCCCTGAGCCTCTCTGCATGCACGTCCACAGCACCGTTCCCAGTCCACGGACCTGCTGCCCAGGAGCACACACACCACCCGGACACCCACGCCCATGGCACCTCTGCTCCTGCTGCCCTACCCCCTCCATCCTTCCTGGTCACTAAGCTGCCCCCCAGCCTCAAGGTGGAGCTCCATGCCCACCACCTGCCCTGGCCATGCACTGGGGACAGGGTGGGCACGTGCTGCTGCAGGAGGCGGGTGCCGAATGCACGTGGCCTGGACCGCTGCCATGCCCAGCACTGCCACGCGGGGCGGAGGGCAGGCAGTGTCTGCATGGGGCCCTGCAGGGCCCCGGACAAGCAGTCACACACTGAGTAAACGCTGCGCCATCGCCTCCTGGGGACAGAGGGCAGCGCCAGGCAGAGAGCAGAGCAGGACTGAAGCACATGGGAGGTCCAGGAGCCCTGCCTTCTAGTCACAGGGGCAGGCCACCCGCTGGAAGGGCAGTGGCACGAGGGTGCTGGGCACAGCTCCAGCCCCACCTGGCAGTCTCACTACAGGGGATGGGGCGCGTCTTCTCCAGGGCATCACTGATGCCCCCGGCTCCGGCTCACGCGTGGTATGAATACACACAGGCCCCACCTAACGAGTGGAGTGACAGACCACTGAGAAGGTCTTCCACAGCGAAAGACACAGCACACATGCAGGGCCTGCGCTTCCCAGTGGAAGGGCGCCACCGTGTGGCTCTGACGCAAATAGACAGTGATGGGCTTTTTGCAGTGAATTACTTTATTTTCTTACTGATCTTGGTGCACAGGATGATGCTCCAACCAACTGAGCCACACCTGTCAAGGCTACAGAGAATTACTTTCTTTTTTTAAATCCTCACCCGAGGACATTTTTCCATTTTTTTGTTCAGATAGAGTGGGAAGGAGAGAGAGAAACATCGACGTGAAAGGGACACATCAAGTGGCTGCTTCCTGCACAACCCAACAAGAGCTGGGGACAAACTGCAACCAAGGTACGTGCCCTTAGTGGGAACCGAACCCGGTCTCTCTGGACCGCAGGTCGACGCCCTAACCACTGAGCCAAACCAGCCAGGGCTGAATTACTTTCTTAAAAATTTGTAACAGCCCTGGCCGGTTTGGCTCAGCGGTTAGAGCGTCGACCTGCGGTCCGGAGAGACCCGGGTTCGGTTCCCGCTAAGGGCACGTACCTCGGTTGCAGTTTGTCCCCGGCCCTGGCTGGTCGTGCGGGTGGCAGCCACTCGATGTGTCCCTTCACATCAATGTTTCTCTCTCTCTCTCTCTCTTCCTCTCTCTCCCTCCCACTCTATCTGAACAAAAAATGGAAAAATGTTCTCGGGTGAGGATAAAAAAAAAAAAAAAAAATTGTAACAATTCCTTTTTTTGACAGGTTTTTCACCTTACACCACACTTTCTGAAAGTGAGTGCTTTAATCTACATTATACCATTCAGAACTAACATGACCCAAATGTGCATAAAACGCAGACAGCGCCACTATGCTCACCAAGGGGTCTACCCTGTCTCAGGGACGTCGGGAATCAACAGGCAGTCCCCACCCCCTTGAAACGGACATTCTGAGGCCAGAGGCAGACAGACTAATGGGGGAATCCCAGGAAAAGAGAAACTACTGAAAGACATCAAGTCACAAATTCAAGACTTATGAACCCCAATAGAGCACATCAAAAGAAATCTGCACTCAGACATGGCTTGGTGAACGGGGAATTTAAGAGCAGCAGAGGGAAACACCAGCGCCAGAGGAGCACGCGCCAGACAGGCAGAGGCTCGGAGGTCAGAACAGTGTGGGGAAAATGGTCTCCCTAGAATTTATACCCAGCAGAAAATATCCTTCTAGAACAAAGCTGAACGAGACAACCCAGACACACAAACGCCGAGGAAAGTCGCCCCTGCAGACTTCACTAAAGGAAAGTCCACGGCACTCCTCAGCAGTGGGAAACATCCCAGCTAAGAATCAAAGACGCAGGCAGGAATAATGAACAAAGTCAAAAGACAAACATGTGACCAAACGGAAAGAATACTGAGCAGGTAACACGTCTTGTGAGACTTACAGCAGAGGGAACCACAATACACCACAGCACAGGCTGGAGGCTACATGCAACCACGCTGAGCCCTCTGGACCCGGAGGTACAGAGCAGCACTGACAGAGGAGCCGAGTCACAGGTGCTGAAACCTGCAGGGAATCACTGCAGCAGTCGAGAGGGTGGCTCCCAAATTCACAGGGACAGGGAAGCATAGAAGAATCCAGAAGGTAAGAATGGGTATGAAATGAGATGGAGGCAGAGCAAACAGAAAGCACTATGGCAGATTTAAACCCAAAACATCAGCAAACACATTTAATGTAAGTAGACTGAGTGAAGGGGCCACAGACAACTCACCTCTTCACCACCCAGTTTCCTTGGACTAACATCGCCACCTTCTGGATGCCACGCAGAACAGCCACGGAGTCCACAGAGGGGCCCAGGAGGCTCATCAAGTTGGCAAAAGGCATGACCTTCACTGAGGACGCAGAGACGTCAGACAAGGGAGAGGAGCCTGGCCCCTTCCCAGTCCCCACCAGGTCTGCAGGGCAAGCTCAAATAGCAACCCCAGAACGTGAACGACACCAAGACCCCAGCACGGCACAGCCCTGGATCTTGAAGGAAATGTCCACAGGGAAGACCGAGGAGTGCCAGGAGGCACACCACATTCCACTCAGGCCCAGAGGCTTCACAACCCCCCATAATCACCTGGCTAGTAAGTGGCAGAGCCAGGATTAGATCCCAGGCCACCAGGGTCCAGAGTCCGTGTACTTAACCACTCTGCTCTGCTCGCCCCCACCTGAGCCCCCGCAAAGCAAGTGGGCCAAGGCCCCAGGAAGGCCGTCATGCAGCCCCATGCACAGCAGGGAGCTCCCCTCTGTTCGAGTCCCGAGGCCCTCGGCGGGCACCTCAAGAGCCCAGGGCCTGGGACTCAGCTCTGAGTTTCAAAAGGCTCGTGTCCGCCACTGGCCAGCTCCAGGCCCCTGCAGGCTCTGGCCCTCGGAGTTCTCCAAGAAAAGACTAGTCCCTGCCGCTTGGGCGCCACAGCACAGCGGGAGTGAACACGTCCTTGAGAGGACCTCAGCTCACGTCCACACGCAGGGCTTAGGATCAGCCCTGGCAGCCTCGCCTTACCCCAGCTCCCAGGAGCCACCTTAGCCCCTTTCCACAGGTGAACTGGGCTCAGGAAGGTCAGTGACCTGCCCAGCTCACACAGCAGGAGTGGGGAGAGGCACAGGAAGCCTGATCCTTGAGGGGCCGCCGGGGCTGCTGCTCTGGGCAATGGGAGCCTCTGGCCTTGCCCCTTGGTCCTCAGTCTGTCCCAGAGTCAGGAGGCAGACGGCATGATGAGCACCTACCGTTCTTCATCAGGATCTTAATCTGATCGGCCAGGGGCAGGGTGCGCAGCTGGGCCATGGACAGGACATTGCTGGGGGCCACTGGCTTGTCTCTGTGGAAACAAAGGCGTGGTCAGAGGCTGCAGGCAGGGAGCCCTGGGGCGCTGGCCAGCCCACCTCTACTCACTTCTCCTCCTCCTGGCTGGGCGGCATCAACATCAGGAGGTACTCACTGCGGAGGAGAGAGGGCAGGTCAGCGCCCATGACCCCGGCTGGCCCCAGGCTGAAGCCTCCTTGCCAGCAGCCAGTGAGAGGCCCTTCCCCACCCTGCCCCCCTCTAGAGGACCAGCTCTTCTCCCCCGCCCTCCAGGGCAAGGGGCCCTCCCACGCCCTTCCCCCGGGAGGACCCACAGGTGGCAGTCCCAGCAGTCCCACCTGGGCGACTTGCCGAGCTCCGTGTTCCCGACCCCGCTGGAGCCCTGGCACAGCAGGTACTGGCGCTCGTGCTCAGAGCGGCTGTCCTGTGGGGGAGGGACCTCAGCGCAGCCCTGCGCCCCACAGCCCCACACCCCACCATCCACTTCCCGCTCCAGCCACCCACTGTGCTGCCCCAAGGCTGGCCACGGGACCCCAGCACCCGGAGCCGGCACCGCAGTGCCTGTCTGTGATACAGGGACACGAGCGCAGCGGCACGCCAGCCAGCCAGAGCGCACCTAGGCGTGCAGGCTCCGGGCCATGCTGGGACAGCACCAACTCGCCTGCCCTCAGAGTACCGCTGCCGCTGCCGGCGGGTCCTACTGTCACTGTTCCCATTTGTAGAGAAAGAACCGGATTCTGAGAGAGGAGGGGACTTGCCCAAGGTCACACACTAGGAAACAGCAGAGCTTCTGCAAGTCTGACCCTGAGACAAAGGCTCTGTCAACACAAATCTCTCCCAGGAAGGTTCCAGAAAAATCAGGACCCCTCCTCAGAGACATGCTGGGGAGCCCTAGGCCGTGGTGTGGGGAGCCCTGGGCTGTGCTGTGCTGGGGCCTCATATTCAGCGGCTTCCCTGCCTCCACCCAGTTTCAGGAACTGGCTCCAAAGTCAGTGCACAGTAATCACCTCTGGCAGCTCGGCAGTGACCCTGGGCAGGTGACAGATGGCCGACTGTCCCCAGAGCAATAGATGAAGTGTGCCTGCGTTCACCGCCCACAATGCATGAAAAATGCGTGACCAGCCAGCAGCCCCACTCTGAGCCCAGCAGGAATGCTCCCGCTGCAGAGAGCCTGGGAGCAGCAGACCCCCCTCCCGGGTGCAGAGTGGCCAGGTTATGCCAGCAGGACATAACCCCTCTCCCTGCAGCATCACCAAGCGGCCAACGGAATCTGCAGTCCGGCAGGAGACAAGGAGGCCGCACTGCCGCGCTCCCTGGGCACCGGGCTCTCCCAGGGCCCCCAGGGCAGCGCCGGGGAGCGGCTCACCCTCAGGCCGTGGTAGCGCAGGTGCACCCAGGGCTCCTCGGCGTGCTTCTTCTGCAGGAACTCGTAGGACTGCACGCGGCGCTGCCGGGCCTGCTCCGACTCGGGCCGGGAGAACCGCACCTGCGGGGGCGGCACGAGGGCCTCAGGCCTGGGACACTTCCTGGGCTGCCGTCCTGGCCCACCAGGAGGCCCGAGGACCCCATATCTGGGGCACTTCCCACCTTCCCCTCGTTTCCTCACGCAGGTCTTTTAAATCCAGTTCTAACCACGTCCCGCTCTGTGGTCTGCCCACAGGCCGGACGGGAGCAGCCTCCTCGGCGCGGGGCCCGCCTGCACCCACTCCGTTTCCACTCACTGGCGGCAGCACCCCCGTTTTCCCATGAGAAACACCAGTTCCCCTTTAGTTCCTACCTAACGTCCCCCCAAACACCATGCACAGCTACAGAGCGGGCAGGAGCCTCAGACCTGGACAGCACAACCACAAGGGACGGGCTCAGGGCTGGGTCAGCCAATGAGTCCATCCTGAACTTTGACTTAGGATTAATGACAAAGTAGTTTCTTTCCCCTGGAGGCTGGGAGGCTGTAAGCCTGGAGCTGGGACAACTCTCTCTACCACCTTGGCCAGACACCTCGCCTGAGGAAGAGGCCACAAGAGAGAGACAGAACCTGGAGAGGGAGAAACCAGTCTCAGTGACAGTCTGAATTCAGCCATACGTGAGGCTACCCTCCAGCTTCCCCGTACCAAGGACCCACACACTCCTTTCACCTGCGCCTTTGGACCTGCTGTCTGTTGCTCAGGTCCAGAAGGAGCCAAGCCCCGTGTCACTCTCCGTGAAAGGGGAGCTGGGCGCCGGCTGGGCTGGATTCTAGGATTCCACAGGAGGCCTTGAAGGCACACAGGTCCAAGAATGTCTTGTTAAAAAGGGGCCCGAGAGTCCCCAAGAAGGGAGAGAGGTATCTGAGGTCATCCAACAAGCCACGGAGAAGAAAGATGAGGCCCCACGTTGGCTGTGCCAGAGCCCACCCGCCTCAAGGACAGTCACAGCTTCAGCCACGCTGTGTCCCACGCACATCACCTGCGCAGGATTTTCCTTCAAATACTCATTTTAACCTAAACATACTTAAATGGGAGACTTTATAAGCCACAAATGGAAGGTCAATATTCTTCCAACAATCTTAAAGTACAGGAATAACTATTAAGATAGAAATTCTTCAAACGTGCGCCACTAACGAGATAGCACCACTCGGTTTGTCAGCACAGGACTGCGGCCCGCTCATCGAGGGCTTTGGACACGCAGCGTGTGCACTGGCACCGCTGGCCCGGGCTCTTACCAGCTCGCACAGACAGGGCCGCCATCCTGCTCACAACTGGGACAGCTCTGCTGGACAGACGTTAGGCTGTCTCTCCAGGCGGCCCAGTAAGAGAGTTCTGAAGAGCAGACTGTTTCTGCATCCGTTTCACCTCAGAACACAGTCTGCAGACCCTCCTGCCCCTTGCTCTCCACACCACTGAGCTGCAAAGCCAGCCTGCTGCCTCCCGGCCCACCCCTCCCTCTCAGGCCACAGCGCACCGTGATCTGCTTCACATCTTCTTCCGCCTCGTCCTGCGAAGAGTCCCCCGCTGCAAGAGAAACAGGCCTGCTCAGCCTCTGGTGGGGCCCCAGGAAGGCCCAAGCAGCAGGCCTGTGAACTGTCCTAACGCATGTCAGGGGACACTTAGAAATGCAGAGACATTCTGGGAGGTGGGTGCTACTGGCAGCCAGTGGGCAGAGGCTAAGGATGCTGCTAAGCACCTGTAACGCATCCCTTCCATACTTCCTCCGCCAATCCCTCCTGCCCAGTCACAGACAGACAGCAGGGCTGGGGCCAGAGCTCACCTTCATTAGCTGCCTCCCTCTCTCGGTGCTTGGCGTCTGCCTTATCCAGGTAGGAGAAGCTGGGCCGCAGCTGCAGGATGCCATGTAAAGGTGTCAGGTGGAGCTCACCTGGCAGAGGAAGAAAGGCTTGGACCTAAGAACTAAGCCACGCCCCCCACCCCCGCCAAGCCTGGTTAAATAAAGGTAGTCAGTCACCAAGGGCCCCAGACTCCCCTAAAGACCTTGGCCCAGTGCCAAACTACCTCCCACCTCTGACCCTAGAGCCTTGGGACTACCAGGCTGACCCCACCTGGCCCTGCTGGACACAGCAAGCACACATCCAGGATCAGGACAGGACTCCAGACTCAAATCCCCCCCACAAGCACCCAACACCCTCCGAGCACAGTCCCGCTGCGCCCCCTCCAACCAAGCAACAAACACACTGCTCTCCCGCCAGGCCTCGCTCACTCACCCCAACACACTCTGCTCTCCCCCAGGCCTCGCTCACTCACCCCAACACTCTGCTCTCCCCCAGGCCTCGCTCACTCACCCCAACACACTCTGCTCTCCCCCAGGACTCGCTCACTCTCCCCAACACACTCTGCTCTCCCCCAGGCCTCGCTCACTCACCCCAACACACTCTGCTCTCCCCCAGGCCTCGCTCACTCTCCCCAACACACTCTGCTCTCCCCCAGGACTCGCTCACTCACCCCGCCGCACTGTCTCCCCAGTTCCCACCCTCATCCTCCCACCTCCTGCCATAATCCCACCCGTTCCATGAAGAAGTCAGTACTGAATGTGGCTGGAGAAGCAGCCCCGGAGGCGGAAGAGGCCCCCCAGTCTCCGATGGAGGCCATGACTTTCCTGTGAGTCAGACCTTGCCCTGGAGGCAGGTGCATGTGGGCTCCAAAGAGCAGAACCCAAAGGCTCGGGCTCTGTCTGGACCCCGAGAGAGCAGACTGCTCCAGATAAGGAGTAAATGAGGGGATGGTCTGGTTGCCAGGGCTCTGTCCCTTGAAATGTAGAAGAGTCTAGTTGATGATTTAAAATATATATATATATTTTATATATGTGTGTGTGTGTGTGTGTTTATTGGCCTGGCCGCTGTGGCTCAGTGGTTGAGCATTGGCCCACGCACCAAGAGGTCACCAGTTTGATTCCTGGTTGGAGAACAAGCCCAGGTTGTGGGCCTGATCCCCAGTGTGGGGCATGCAAGAGGCAGCCAATTGTTCTCTCTCATTGATGTTTCTATCTCTCTCTCCCTCTCCCTTCCGCTCCCTCTAAAGTCAATAAAGAAAAAATATTTTAAAAGTATGTTTTTAGCCCTGGCTGGTTTGGCTCAGCGGTTAGAGCATCCACCTGCGGTCCAGAGAGACCTGGGTTCGGTTCCTGCTAAGGGCACGTACCTCGGTTGCAGTTTGTCCCCGGCCCTGGTTGGTCATGCGGGTGGCAGCCACTCGATGTGTCCCTTTCACATCGATGTTTCCCTTTCTCTCTCTCTTCCTCTCTCTCCCTCCCACTCTATCTGTGCAAAAAATGGAAAAATGTCCTCGGGTGAGGATAAAAAATAAATAAATAAAAAATTTTAAAAAAGTATGTTTTTATTGATGTTTTAGAGAAAGAGACAGAAACATCCATGTTGGAGAGATACACTGATCAGGCTGCCTCCTGCACGCCCCTCCACTGGGGATCAAGCCCACAACCTGGGCATGTGCCCCAACCAGGAATCAAACCAGGACCCCTCAGTCCATGGGACGACGTTCAGTCCACTGAGCCACACTGGCCAGGCTGATGCTACTCTATTTTGATTCTATTCTTTTGTTTCATAAGTGTTCAAATTAGTTTCATTTATTGCTTCATCAACTCTATAAACACCTACAGGACCTTGTACTTTTAATTGCGGTGAGATAGAATTCATATGCCATACAATTCAATGTATTATAAAATATGCAGAATTACAGAGCCAGCACCACAATCCACTGAAGAGCGTGTGGGCCGTGCCCTACCAGCCTCGCCTCTGCCCTGCTTGTCCCTGCTCTGGACGTTTCAGGTGGATGGCACCACAGAACGTGTGGCCTGGCGACTGGCCGCTTCCACAGGCCTAGTGCTCTGCGGGCACATCTGGGAACACGTGTGCATCCCTCGCTCTCTGAGATGACTGAGTGACACTCCACTGAGTGGCCACAGCACACTGCCGTCGGGCATCAGCTCAAGGACAGACGGCTGGGCGCTCACTGTCACTGTCAGGAACAGTGCACGTGTTTCCACGTGGACTCGGCTTCATCCCCCTGGTAGCTGCCGTCTAGGAGCAGAACTGCAAAGTCTCAAGTACCTTGTATTTAAAACAAAAGTCTACAACCTGTCTTACGAGTTATGCTGTGTGCCCGCGTCCCAGGAGCCCATCCCTACAAGGATGGGCAGTGGCTAGCCAGAAGTCCTTGAAGATGGCCAACGCAGCCGGGCCCCCTGACAACCTGCTATTTGCACAAGCTGCCTGGCCCCCGTAGGCGTCTAGAATTCGGCAGGGCAGGGGCTGCACACCAGGCTAGAGCAGGCTTCTGGGTCCCAGCTCCCCCACCCCCGTTCCCCGCCGTCAGCCTCAGTCGGGCCCAGCCAAGGTACCTTGCCTGTAGAGCGCAGCAGCGTAGCGGGACGTGCTACTGGTAGTCTGGGAGGAGCAGAATGTCTGCTTGTCCATCAGCTTCCTAGGAGCACAGGGAGAACGGGCATCAGGGCAGGAAGCACCAGACCGGGCCTGGCAGGCACAGCCCCCCCCCAGACACCTCCTGAAACCCAAGAGCCAGGGCCAGGCCCACAGCACAGGCTATTGTGCTGCAGGAGGAAAGCTGGGGTGGCAGAGCCCAAGGCCTGTGTAGGCCCCAAGACACAAGCAGGGGGTGGGAGGCCCCCTGGCCTTCAAGGGGCCCAGGAAGGACTTGGTGGGAGGAGCCATTTCAGGGAACAGATGCACTAGGCCATCCCCTCAGAGGTGGGGCCGGTGGGGAGCCTGGAGCCCGGGCGGCACTCACGAGGAATAGGTGCTGGTCTCGTCCGTGCAGGCGCCATCCACGTTCAGCGCGATCTGCTCCCCTTTGCTGCGGCAGTAGTTGGGGTTCAGGGTGTCGATGGCCATCTCAAGCTCGACCTGGAGGCACCAAGCACCCCCAATGGCTATGAGGACCTCAGACACAGTCCTCAGGGGACAGTCCTGCCTGCCCAGAAGAGGACAGATTCATGTCCCGCCCTGGGGGTCTCAGGCTTCAGTCTACACACAGGTCACAAACCCCAATTCTGACAGAAAAGGCCAGAGCAATTTTTGAGGGGGCAGGAGGTGGTCCTGGTAGTTTGTCCCTTCCCCCCAGCTCCACTGCCAGAGATCTGTATCTGGAGTTAAAAATCCAGAGATTTCTCATGAAAATCTTATTTTCACTTTCTCTTGAAAAGCCAGCAGCACGGGCAAAACTGGCACGGCATGTCCCTGGGATCCTGGCCCCTCCCGGACCAGCCTTCCAGGCTCTGGACCCTCACACCAAGCCCGCTCACACTGGCCCCCTCCCCGCTACTCCCTAACTGGAAGCTCACTGTCCCAGGCCTCTCTGGAGCTGCCCACCCTTTTTATTCCTGGAGACTCCCTTGCTCAGCTCTCAAGGCCCTGCAAAGGGCTGTCTGACTCTCCACTCCTTCCTCCAGGCTTCCAGTCCCCAACGGGTCATCTCCTGGCCTCCCCAGCTCCCACCTACACGCCTCCGGCACAGAGGGTAGCCCCACCTTCTGCTGCTTGGGCTTGATCTTGGCTGAGAGGTGCGGAATGTCATCGTAGGTCATCGAGGCTGGACGCACAGGGTACTGTGGAGGGGAGGGAGCCATCAGCGCAGCCTGGCCAGCCCGACCAGAGCCACTCTGGGCACTCTGGCCAACGCCCTGGTCTCCTCACCCCCCACCCCACTGGCCCCACTTGGTCTCCTTTCCAAGTGCCGGTTTAAATGTCTCTGACCTCCAGTGGACATGCCCGAGCCGCAGGAGCCCAAACCCTGGCACCCAGAGCACCGCCGGGGAGTCAAAGTGAGCTCCGCGGTCGGATGACCAGTGCAGACCACCAGGTAGGAGGACAAGGGAGCCAAGAGGGAAAACAACACTGGCCAAGTACCGCTCACTGCCGAAGCCAGATGCGGCCACGTGGGAAGTCATTACCCCAGTCTCTCTCCTTCTGCTCCGTGTGACTTTTCCAGAACAGACAGTAAGACAGAGAAGGGGGCTGGTCTGCCTGACCTCAGAGAGCCCTCTGGACACCAGTGTCATGTGTGAGGTCACGTCTACGTCACACACCTTCAGGCACTGCTCTGGACCCTCGCCTCACAGCCGCACTTCTCCGCGCCCCCTGCCCCCACGCCGCGAGGGAAGGCTGAGCCACGGCGCAACATGGCCCGGGGGGGCGTGGCGGTGCGTGAGACCAGCGCTCTAGCCTGGGAAATGGCTGTTTCCTAGACGCTCACTTCAGTAGCAGCAGTGACCCCTCTCTGCTTCCTGGGCTGGAGTCCAGCCCATCGGACGGAGCCCCTGAAAGGCCTGGGCTGGGAAGAAGGGTAGTGAAGGGCACAGAATCTGGAATCAGACAGACCTGAGTTCCGGTCCTCATTCTGCCACTTGCTACTCATGGACTCGGCCAAGCTCCTCACCTCCCCTGGCACGAGCGTCCTCACCAGAGGGCACAGGGCTTGAACACCCTGCATACCCACGGGTCACTGCCCAGCGCCAGTCCCACCATCACTGTGCAGGAGGGAGGCAGGTTCAGAAGTCCCGAGCGAGGGCCCCCAGGTCCAAAGCCTCCAGAGGGTTCAGGGTAGGGGACAGACACTAGGAGCACTGCTGTGGCTGCCCTGTCCAGGCCCTGTGCGCAGGCTACCAGCCTCCCTGTGCCTCGTCTTATCATATGCAACATGGGGACAAAGACTTAAAATAGTAACCTGATTGCCAGGAATGCAAATTGGTACAAAACAGTCTGGTGGTTCCTCAAAGTGCTGAGTTTCCACGGGACCCAACAAACCCACACCGAGGGACACACCTCCACTCAGACACTTGCACGGAAATGCTCACGGCAGCACTCACTGCTTGTGAGAGCCAAAAGGTGGAGCAACTCAAATCCCCATCAACTGACGCAAAAATACACAAAACGTGTGGTGTATGTATCTGAGCTATGGAGTTATTCCTCCACAAAAAGAACGAGGCCCTGGTATACTGGTGAACCTCGAAAGCATCGTGCTAAGTCATGGAAGTCAGACGTAAAAGGCCACACACCGTGGGACTCTGGAACAGGCAAAGTCAGAGAGAACAGGGTCAGTGGGTGCCCAGAGCTGCAGGTGGGGATGGGGGAAAGGGGCAAAACGTCCTGATAGACTGTGGTGCTGGTTGCAGAGTCCTGTGAAGAGGCTCAAATCCACCGTCTTATCCACTTAAATGGGGGAATTGTATGGATGTAGATTAGATCTCAATAAAGCTGTTATAAAATTACAATAACATTAAGCACCACAGGTCACTGTGGGGTAGAAGAGTTCGTTTTATGTCCAGTGCCGTGAACAGGTCTGCACACAGCCCACCGCAGCACCCGTGAGGCACAGGGACGACCGAGGGCACAGCCGGAGGGCTCCAGAAGGGCCCTCTCCACGCCAGCTCTGAACCATGCACACTCATCTGATCCCCATGGGAACCTGCAAATCAGGTATCAGTACCATCGCCATCTTGCAAACAAGGAAACTGAGGCACAGAGATCAAGGAACTTGCCCAGGGGCTGGCAGTGAAGCGGAAAGGGAACTGGGCTCAGTGCTGGCGGTCGGTCCGCACCCGAGCTCTCGCGGCACAGAGCTCTCCCCCGAGGCCGCATTTCACCCCCCCACAGAACCATCCAATCACACACTCAGGTCTCCCATGGTCCCTGCACCCCCTCCCACCAATACCCTCTTTACCTCCAGGTCCCACAATTACCTGAAACAGATAGAGCTTCTCTGCCAGACTTTTGGCCAAGTACACGTCGATCTGGGAACAAGGGAAGAAAACTTAATCAGGAGACCTAACCCAGGGCCTGACTGCCCCGCTGGCATGGGGGCAGTGGCCCCAAGGCAGTCTGGGGTGGAGGAAAGAGCTCAGCTGTTGCTAAAACCAAAGGAAACCAAGTCCCCAACCTGGACATATCCAGGGCCCTCCCTAGAGTTCCCAGGGGGCCAGTGCAGAAGTCTACCTAGGGTCAGTATAATCCAAAAAATGCATCTTCCCTGGGGCTGCCCAGAGCAGGCTGCACCCTGGAGCCGATTAAATGCTTTTCTGAGGTGGATAAGGCAGGGGAGGGTGTCTCCCTGTACCTTCCAGCACCCAGCCTGGATCACCTATCATCCTGACCAGCCCCACCACGCAGCAGACCTTCCTGCTTCCTAGCTCTTCAGAGGAACCATGTCCTCTCCCATCTCCAGGCCTTGGGGACTAGTCAAGGTCATCGGGTGCAGGGCCTCCTCGTGGCGGAAACAGCGCTTGTGGAAGCCTAGAGGTTCTAGGTGTCCAGAGCTGGGCCACTGAAAGTAGCTTCCCACAGTCTGCTTCTGAGACACCTCCCTCATCAGTCTCTCCCCAGAAGATCCTAAGCTGCCTGAAGGGAGGAAAAGGGAGAGACACTACCTCCTTCATTGTTGTCACAGCCCCAGGTGGGTCCAGTTGTCAGTCTCATTCATTCATTCAAAAAACAATGGCACTGATATCTATTATGTCCAAGGAACTGGACCTGGCTTTGTGGACAGGTGAACAGAATAAAAGCTCTGCTTTCCCGAGCTTACACTCCAGCAGGAGGAGGCTTATGTCTAGGGGCTAATAAGCATTGTGGCCAAGGCAAAGCAAGGCCCAGGGAAGGGGCTAGAGTGCTGGGGGTGGGGGTCAGAATGCAGAAGAACGCCACACAACCACAAGGGTGGTCAGGGAAGCCACTCTGACAAGGAGATGGTGGATCAGAGACCTGAAGGGAGTGAGAGGGTCAGCCAGGCAGGTACCTGGGGAGAGAAGGTCCCAGTCTGGCCTGAGGATGGACCGAAGGAGCCCAGCCCTACCGCCTGCAGCCCAAGGCACAGGCATTTCTCCTTGGTAGCCAGCAGAGGGTGGGGAGCAGCAGTTACCTCCTGCACGACTGGGTCATCCTCTTCATTGGCCATACTAGGGGGGAGCCCGCAGTGAGGTCCTCAGACTCGATCTGTAAGGGAGCAAAGGGCCTGGCCATCAGTCAGTTCTGACAGACATACTCTGGGAGGGAGAACCCCAAGACAAACAAGTTAATCCTCTCTCTGTATGTACCCTGGAGTCATCTGCGGAGGGCCAACTATATAATCCATCAGCCCCCCAAAAAAGAAACAAAAACAAGCACTGGGTGTGAACAGGGGGATGCAAGCTGCACCAATGGGAAAGAATGCCCAGCTTTAGGGGTATTTTTGAGTACTCACAGGACAAGTCGCCACCAGGCCTGGGGATGGAGGCTGGCTGAGCCACAGCCATGTCTACAACACTCAGGAGCTAACTGAGGCCATGGGAAGTTTTAAGAAGAGCCGGAAGCTCTGGTCCAGGCGGTGAAAAGTAGGAACAGCGGTGCTCGCCTCCTCCATGGCCACATCAAAACGCCAACTGAATTATAGCACAACCACCTTGAGAAGCACCTGAAGACTAGCTGAACAGAACTGCCATAACTAAGGAAATACAACAGAAGCTACGTTGAGACTGGTGGGGACGGGGGGACCAAAATAGGCTAGCCCCACACCCACGTGTGGTGATATCACGCCTGTGGAAGTCATCTGAGGGGTGGGGGCGTCCCAGCCTCACACCAGGCCCCCGAGCCCATAGCACCAGTGCCGGGAAGAGGAGCCCCTACAACAGCCGGCTGTGAAAATCAGCATGGACTCCACGCAGGTGAGACTAAGGGCCGCAGGAAACCCAGGTGACCTCTTAAAGGGGTGAGCGCGCGCACATGCACACTCACTCACTCTGGCTCTGGGCTTCAGCACGGGCACAGCAGCTCGAAAAGTGCCAGGGACACATGAGGAGGAACTAAAATGACCAGCTTCGGACACAGGCTGGAAGGGAAGGAGCTGGGGCAGCTCTCTCTGGGGACTGAAGTGCAGGCAGGTACCACTGCTCCCTTGTTGAGCCCTCCTCACCCACCCAAATCTTCAGGGACACGGGGGTGCTAAATCTGAGCTCTCCAATAACCGAGCAAACACCTTTCACCCCCACAGAGGTGATTCCCAGAGACCCTGTCCCACCCAGCGCATGCACCCAGACAGAGCTAATTCAGAGGCTCATCCACACAAGCAACCTGCCTTAGCTCAAGCTGAGGACTTTCCTAAGATCTCTCAAAGGTCCATAAACCTCAAGCAAGCAGCAGCTGGCCTTGGTGTGCCCTATACATCTTACTCAGTGGCCTCAAGCCCGGCACAAGTGGCAGCTGGCCTCAGCTCGCATTATGGTGCCCATCAAAGGGTCCCAAGACAAGGACTAGTGGCAGCCAGTCTGGGTCCGCAGCAAAGCCTCTCCCAATAGCCACCAAACCCAGCACAAGTGGTAACCAAATGCAGATCACTTTGTAGCTTCTACCAAGGGATGCCAAGCCGGTCACAAACAGTGCCTACACCAGAGCCTTCCTAAGAGGCTTCAGAACCAACAAACCCAGGGGCCAACTTCAGACCACAGCAGAGCACCACCCATCAGCTCCACAAACACACCAAAGGGCGAACTCGGTGGGCACCAAAGCAAATCTCATTCTGTGGGGTCAACCCCTAAAAAAGAGATTGCCCTCTAAAGCCAGCCCTCAGGTCAACCCAACCCACGGACAGGCCAACAGCAATCCAGGCGCAATAACAGGGGGACACAGGTCTCACACACAGGACTCCTGAAATCCTAGACGTAGGTGACGAGGAAAACTGTGCCTCTGAGTCTCACAAGACACCTACTACATACAGCCACTCGACCAAGGCTGGGAGATGTCACAGACCAACCTAATACACAGAAGTAAAAACAAATACAGGGAAGCAGCCAAAACAGGGTGACAAAGAAACATGTCCAAAATGAAAGAACAGAACAGAACTCTAGAAAAAGAACTAAATGAGATGGAGACAGACAATCTACTAGACAAAGAATTTGAAACACTGGTTATGAGGAAGCTCAATGAACTTAGGGGAAGTTAGGTGAACTTACACAGAGACACAGAAAACATAAAAAGCAGTCACGCTGTACCGGGAACAGGCTGTTCCTCCTTCCTGTGGGAGCAGAACACATACTACATTAAAAAGGAGTCCTCTGCCCTGGCCGGTTTTGCTCAGCAGTTAGAGCGAGAGACCCGGGTTCGGTTCCCGCTCAGAGCGCATACCTCAGTTGCAGTTTGTCCCGGCCCTGGTTGGTCGTGCGGGTGGCAGCCCCTCAATGTGTCCCTTTCACGTCGATGTTTCTCCTCTCCCACACTCTATCTGAACAAAAAATGGAAAAATGTCCTCGGGTGAGAATAAAAAAGGAAGAAAAAAAAGGAGTCCTCAGGGCTGCAAATCTGACAGTAGTAAGTTGAGTAGCAGTATACTACATTGGAAAAAAGTCAGAAATGAAGAATACAATATTGGAAATAAAGAATACACTAGATAGAATCAACAGTAGATTAGATGAGGCAGAGAATCAAATCAGTGATTTGGAAGACACAGTAGTAGAAAACACCCATTAAAACAGCAAATAGAAAAAAGAATCCAAAAAAAGAAACAGGATAGTTTGTTACTCTGGGACATCAAGAGTAACAAAATTAACATCATATGGCTCCCAGAAGGAGAGAGAGCAAGGGAAGATATTATTTGAAGAAATAATAACTTAAAAGTTTCCTAATTTGGCAAAGGAAACAGACATATAAGCCCAGGAAACATAGAGTTCCAAACAAGATGAGCCCAGTGAGGGCCACACCAAGACACATCATAATTAAAATGGCAAATTAAAGACAAAGAGAGAATCATAAAGAGTCAAGAGAAAGACAGTTAGTTATCCAGACAGTTACCCACTAGGGAGCTCCCAAAAGACTGTCAGCTGATTTCGCCACAGAAACATTTCAGGCCACAAGGGATTGGCATGAAACATACAAAGTGATGAAAAGCAAAGACCTACAACCAAGACTACTCTATCCAGCAAGGCTATCATTTAGAATCAAAGGACAGATAAAGAACTTCTCAGATAAGAAAAAAACTGAAGATGACCATCGTTAAACCAGTGTCACAAGAAATGTTGAAGGAACTTCCTTTTTTAAAAAATATATCTTTATAGATTTTTTAGAGAGAGAGATAGAAACATTGATGTGGGAGAGAACCATCAATTGGCTGCCTCCTGCATGCCCCCTACTGGGGATCAAGACTGCAAACTGGGCATGTGTCCTGACAGGGAACTGAACCAGGACCCCTCAGTCCATGGGACGACACTCAATCCACTGGGCCACATCGGCTGAGCTAAAGGAACTTCTTTAAGCAGAAAAGAATTGGTCAAAAATATAAGTAAGAAAATATATAGAGAAAAAATTGCCCACTGACAAAGGTAAACACATAGTAAAAGCAGTGGCTTAACCAACTATAAAGCTAGTACAAACATTAAAAGACAAAAGTAGTAAGATCATGTGTAATTACAATAACAAATTAAGAGCAGCACACAAGAGAAGTTAAAAAATGACCACATCATTAACGTAGAGGGGGAGTGTAAAAATTATAGTGATTTTAGAATGTGTTTGAGCTTAAGGGACTATCAACTTAAAATAGACTGCTATAGCCTGCCAGTGTGGCTCAGTGGTTGAGTGTCAACCCATGCACCAAGAGGTCACCAGTTCAATCTCCGGTCAGGGCACATGCCCAGGTTGTAGGCCAAATCCCCAGTAGGGGGCATGCAGGAAGCGGTCAATCGATGTTCTCCCTCATCGATGCTTCTATCTCTTTCTCCCTCTCTCTAAAATCAATAAAGAGCCCTGGCCGGTTTGTCTCAGCGGTTAGAGCGTCAGCCCACAGACCAGAGAGTCCCGGGTTCGGTTCCCACTGAGGGCAAGTACCTTGGTTGCAGTTTGTCCCTGGCCCTGGTTGGGGTCGTGTGGGTGGCAGCCACTTGATGTCTCTCTCTCTCACGTCTTCCCACTCTCTCCCTCTCACTCTATTCTCACTCTATCTGAAGATAAATGCAAAAATATCCTCGGGTGAGGATAAAAAAAAGAAAGGAAAACAATTTTTTAAAATAAAAAAGACTGCTATAAACATAGCTTGCTATGCATGAAGCATGTTATAACCGCAAACCAAAAAATCTACAAGTAATATACAAGAAATAAAGAGAAAGGAATCCAGCCCTGGCCAGTTTGGCCCAGCCCGCAGACCAAACAGTTTGATTCCCAATCAAGGGCATGCACCTGGGTTGCAGGTTCAATCCGCGGCCCTGGTAGGAGCACATGCAGGAGGCAACCAATTGATGTGTCTCTCTCACATGGATGTTTCTCTCTCTCTCTCTCTCTCTCTCTCTCTCTCTCTCTCTCTCCCCCCCCCCCCCCCCCGCTCTATCTGAAGATAAATGCAAAAAATGTCCTCGGGTAAGGGTAAAAATAAATAAATACATAAATAAAACAAAACCCCAGTGACATCAATGTATCATCCAAACAAAAAATCAACAGAGAAACAGTGGCCTTAAATTACACATTAGACAAAATAGACTTCATTGATATTTTAAGGACATTTCCCCCAAAAGCAGTAGAATATACATTCTTTTCAAGTGCACCTGAAACATTTTTCACAATAGACCATATATTCAGCCACAAAACAAGTCTCAATAAATATAAGACGACTAAAATCATACCAAGCACCTTCTCCAATCACAATGTTATGAAACTAGAAATAAATTACAAGAAAACTAAAGAACACACAAACACCTGGAGGCTAAATAATGCACTACTAAGCAATGAATGGGTTAACAACAATTTCAAGAGATATCAAAAGACATCTTGAAACTAATGAAAACATGATGACCCCGAAAATGAAAGAGACATGAAGACTGACATCACAGAAATAAAAAGGATTATTAAGTAAATACAACAACTACATGCCAACAAATGAGACAACCTGGAAGAAATGGATACTAAATTCCTAAAACAAAAATCCCCCAAATTGCAATCAAGAACAGAAAATGTGTCCTGGTCAGTAGCCAAGTGGTTAGAGCATCGGCCCACACAGTGAAGCGTCTTGGGTTCAATACCCAATCCTGGTGGGAGGGGCATGTGGGAGGCAACCAATTATTATGTCTCTCTCACATGATGTTTTTCTCTACCCTGCCCTCCTTCCCACTCTCTCTTAAAAAAAAATGCCCTGGCCGGTTTGGCTCAGCGGTTAGAGCGTCGGCCTGCGGTCCTGAGAGACCCGGGTTCGGTTCCTGCTAAGGGCACGTACCTCGGTTGCAGTTTGTCCCCGGCCCTGGTCGGTTGTGTGGGTGGCAGCCACTCGATGTGTTCCTTTCACATCGATGTTTCTCTCTCTCTCTCTGTTCCTCTCTCTCCCTCCCATTCTACCTGAACAAAAAATGGAAAAATGTCCTCGGATGAGGATAAAATAAATAAATAAATAAAAAATAAAAGTCCTGGAGAACTCTCTTAGCTCATCACTTTAAAAAAAAAAAAAAAAAAAAAAAAAAATCAATGGAAAATATATCCTCAGGTGAGGATTAACAACAACAACAACAAAAAACCCAAACAAACAAACACCCAGAAAGTGTAAAC